ATGGAACTCTCATTTGACCCAGTTAATCCCACTTCTAGGAATATATCCCAAGAAATGAGAAAGAATATATGCACCTTTATGTTCATAGCAACACAATCTACAATAGCCAAGATTTGGAAACAGCCTAAAGTGCCCATCAGCAGATAAGTGGATTAAAACAACAACAACAGTAGCCGAGACCGGTTTGGCTCAATGGATAGAGCGTCAGCTTGGGGACTGAAGGGTCCCGGGTTCGATTCAGGTCAAGGGCATGTACCTTGGTTGCGGGCATATCCCCAGTAGGGGATGTGCAAGAGGCAGCTGATCGATGGCTCTCTCTCATCGATGTTTCTAACTCTCTATCTCTCTCCCTTCCTCTGTACAAAATCAATAAAATATATTTTAAAAAACAAAACAAAAACAGTGGTACATCTACACAATGGAATACTCCTCTGCTATAAAAAAGGAAGAACTCTTACCATTTGCAACAGCAGTGATGGACATGGAGAGCATTATGCTAAGCAAAATAAGCCAGTTGGAGAAAGATGAATATCACATGATCTCACTCATTTATGGACTACAATGAATAACATAAACTGATGGAGTGGTCTTGTGTGGAAGATGCTCCATGTGGCCCAGAAGCACAATCCCCTTGCACTTCCAGGGTCAGGAATCTAAGGTTCTGAAGATTCTGTTTCTTTCTCTCCTCCCAGCACCTCTATTACATTGCATAAAAATGAAACTAGACCAGCAGCTTACACCATACACAAAAATAAACTAAAAATGCAGAAAACCTGTCTCCCATTTCTTAGCATGTGTTCCTTTTTATTCAGTCCCTTTTCTGTCATTTGTATTAGGTAGTCTATAATAATAAAAAAGCAATATGCTACTTAGATCAGACAACTTCTGGATGTCCTTCCTGATGAAGCCGGGGCTGGAAGGAAGTCAGCTCAAGTCCCGGTTGCCTGCAAGTAGCATGAGGGAGGTTAGCCCAGGTCCCAGGTGCCTGCTGGCAGCCAGAGGAAGGAAACAGCCTGGGTACAGGGTGCCCGAGGGAAGCAGGTTTTGGCAGCCTGGGGAAGGAAGGCCCACTTTCGCATAAATTTTTGCGCAACAGGCCTCTGGTGTATATTATAAGAGTCTATATTCAAGATTTATCTTCAAATCTGTAAATTCCTTGCTCTACAGTTTCGATTAAATTTTTGACCAACCTAGTGGCCATTTTAGCTATTGTACTTTTCATCTCCTGGATTCAATTTTAGTCCTTTTTAAGAATTTCTATCTCTTTTTAAAAATATATATTTTATTGATTTTTTTTTTACAGAGAGGAAGGGAGAGAGATAGAGAGCTAGAAACGTCGATGAAAGAGAAACATCGACCAGCTAGCTCTTGCACACCACCCACCGGGGATGTGCGGCAACTAATGTACTGTACATGCCCTTGACCGGAATCGAACCCGGGACCTTTCAGTCCGCAGACCGACTCTCTACCACTAAGGCAAACCAGTTTCGGCAAGAATTTCTATCTCTTTATTGTTTTCTTTTCTTGATGAGATATCCTCATTCTTCCTTTTTCTCATTAGGCCAGCTGATGTTATATCTTTCTGTGTGTACTCAGTGGCAGCATCATTAACCACACAAACGTAAAGCTATATCAAACAAACGTAGAGTTGGGGTAAACAATGTGTGTGTTCTTCTAGTCATGTTTACTTTTTATAATTAAATGTTGCAACTTTGATTCTCACAGCGCCACCATTACAATATATAAGCTTTGGACTTGTAGAAAATGCTGTGTCATATGTATTTACTGCATGTGTTACCTGGCCTTTGAATTTAAGTATTTGTACACTGCTGAATTAATGATTATAGTAGGAGAAAAGTTAAATACTCATAATAACAAATCACCCAAAGCTCACAGAGGAATTGGAAGCTACAGAGCATGGCATCACACCCTGGAATATGAGGATACTGTAACTCTACGCTGCATTTAGTTCTGTTTGAGCAACAGCCTCTGTAATTGAGTTGTACTGACCATCCAATAAAGGTATGAAAATCTGTCCTTCTTGGTGTCAGGTGAAACAATATGCTAAGAATATCTGGGCCTAAATTAACTTACCCTAACATGATGAGAAGATTCTTCTGATTGATCTCTCATAGCTTACATGTTTCAAAGCTTCAATGATAGAATAAGGCTGCCTGGGTTCAAATAGCTCTTGTTCCTGACTAATGGTGTGACCTTATAAAATTTCAACGTTTTAAACTGCTGTTTTATGATTTGTGAAGAGTGAATGAATAGGTATAAGAAGAATAAAGTTGTTATAGGGCTATTTTTAAGTCATGAAAATCGCATTATTAATCTACTACTTTAAGTATTCACCTATTAGTCTATTTCTAGTTTAATCTTGCTCAATATAGGTATTATTGTCTTATAAGGTAAGTTTTTTAAATGTGTCCATTTGTTCTTATATTCTGTTTTGTTCTTAGTTAAACATTTAATTGTGGTATTGAAATCCACAATTTGGTTTGTGAGTTTTATTTTTTTTAGGGTTTCCCTCCTCAACTCAGGCACATAAGAGAATTTTATATGTTTTCTGAATTTACATTAGTTTTAGAGTTTATTTTTGCATAATCAAATTTTAAATTCACCTTTATTGATAATATACTTATCATGAAAGGCTATTTACCTTTATTCTCACCATATGATGAGCAATTTTCTCATCTCTATCAACACATATTTGGCTCCATCTTAATTCTCAATAAGATAGTCCTTTAAAGACATCTGTAAACATTTTAACCCTTATTTTCTTCTTTATTGATTCAAAATTTTTATCTATAAAATTGATTATAACTTTATTTTGCATGTGGTTTAAGAAGGTTAATGTCTATTTTTTTTACTACTGATTGTCAAAATAGATCCAATACTGGCAGACTTGCACTTACCATAAATATGATAATTCTTTTTGAAATTGAAATTTTAGTGTTTTTCAGCACTCATGTGTTCAACAGTGATGTTAGATTGTAATTAAAGAATAATATATATTTATAATTATAGACAAGTTAGTATTTTTGAGTTGTTAAAAGTTACCTATATATAAAACTGTAATACATTTTTCATTAAAATGTGCACATTTTTTTAAAAACTCTTGATGTGTACACCATTTTTTAAAGCATTCACTTTTGTAAATAAATATAATGAAAACAGCATAGAATGTTCTTGGACAGTTTGACAAACATTATATAGCAAACATACATGTAAATACTGCCCAGTTAAAAAAAATAGAAAATGTCACACCTGAAGCAAACTTTTAGTTGCATTGCTAATCAGGTGACTCTTCCTCCATTAAGTTAAAGATAATGTACTTTTAATGGAAGAGTTCTTACTTTTTTCTTGTTTTTATATATAAAAAAAAAAAACCAATATACTCGATTTCTGCCTCTCTTATTAAGCTATATGTTATAAGAAATTATAGCATTGTTATTGTTTATCCTAATTGTGTACTCAAGATTTTTACAAGGCTCGGTCACATTGTTCTAGGTCAGTGTTTGCCAAAGTGTGGTATGAGTACCCCCAGGGGTACAGGAAGAGTTTGGTGGGGGTATGCATTGCACCAGAGTTTGGTGGAAATATGCACTGCACAGTGCTTAGCTGCTCCTAATTCTACGTTCTCATGAGTACGAGGGGTACTCAGCGTTACAAAAATTATAGAAGGTGTACACATATGTCAAAAGTTTGGGAAATACTGTCTAGGTGAATATTTCTCTAATTATTAGAAACATAGTGAAGTAGGGTTTCATATGGTTAAATTTTAAACTCTGAAGCATCTAATTGAATTTTTTACTAATTTTCAATTAGAATGTTTGTGTTCTCATGATTGAGTTCTGTGGATTACATTTTTGGATACTAGCTTTTATCAGTGATATGCGTAATAAATAATTTGCTCAGTGGCTTGTATTTTCTGTCTCTTTAGGATGTTTAGACAAGCAAATGCTCTAAATATAATATAGTACATTTTATCAGTTTTTAAATTCATTGATGATGCTTTGATATTCTTGAGGACACATTTTCTTATCTAAAGAAATAAATTGTTTTTGTATTATCATATGATAGCTGTATGGTTTTCTCTTTCTATACATTTTATTTAATCTACTAGAATTTTAGATTTATGTATGAGGAAAGACAATAATGTAATTTTTCCCATGTAGATATCATTTTTTTCCTCTGATTTGATACTCATTAAGAATGACGGTCATTTCCCTACTGGTATACTAGTACAATGCTACCTACAATAATGTAGTAGTTATGATAAATAGTTCTTCAAAACAGTTATTTTTGTTTCTAATTATTTTCTGTAGAAAATTTTTTATTCTGAAACCATAATTTAAGATTCATACATAATATACTATGACCTAGGTGATTGAAACAAGTGGTAATTACAATAAAAGGGGAGGGGGGGAAACACTTCAAGTTACCTCTTATCCTGAAGATTTTCTTTTCTAGTTATAGTTATTGTGGAGAGGGCCTTATGTTAGATCCATAGCATTGTTCTAGTTCTGAGTCTTAGTTCTGTATATGTGTTCAAACAAATTTAATATTTTCCTTACTATATCAGCTTGCCCACAAAATAAATAACTTTGAACCTTACTTACATTAAATTTTTATTTAACTTTTACACTAATAATTCCTCAAAAGCTTGTCTTTCTACAAAGCTTTTAGGTCTGTACCCAAATCTATTTGTATGTCTATATCACTTTCTTTATGTATAAGTGTTTTTTCAAAATTATGGTATATTAGGTAATAATATGCCTCAGCATTACTGAAAATAAAAAGCCAACAAACCATATTTTATAGGAAAGTAAGAAAAGCTAGTGTCACTATGTCCACTATAACGAACTGTTTCTAGTCATACTTTTATAAATAAATATTTAGAGAGATTTTTCTGTCAATAAACTAGAAATATTTGACAATGTCAAAACATTTCAAAAAAAAATTTATTTCTCACATTGTTGCTTCCATCCCAGACCATGGCCTTCTCTGAACTTCTTCAACATATGGGAAACTTTGGAAGATACCAAATTATGCTTGCCATTTCAATATTATCAATAAGTCTACTTTTGCCCATTCAACACTTGGTGGAAAACTTTTCTGGGGCCATTCCTGCTCACCGTTGCTATGTCCATCTCCTTGACAACATCACATCTAAAAGCAAGCTTCCAGAGAACATAACCATGGAGGCTCTCCTGAGAATTTCCATCCCAATGGGAGTAAAAAATGAGCGGGAGCAATGTCATCGGTTCCGTCAACCCCAGTGGCAACTTTTAAACTACAGTGATTTGGCCATAAATACTACTGAACTGGAGACAGAAGCATGCTTGGATGGTTGGATCTATGACCAAAGTATATTTACCTCCACTATTGTAACCCAGGTATGAAATAATGCAAAAAGTCACCAATCAGTAATTTTCCATTTATAAGACTACAAGAGGCCCAGGGCGTGGATTCGCATACCAGTGGGGTCCCTCAGTTTGGCCTGTGTCCTCCCACAATTTGGGACTCCTCAAGGGATGTCAGACTGCTGGTGTTGGCCTGAAACCCACAGGGCAAGGAGCCTATGGGGACTGGGCTGAAGGCAAGGGAGGAGCCAAAGCCCAGGCACCACACTACTCCTGCTTATCCCAGCCTTGCTGAGCCTGCCACTGCCAACACCACATGGTAGTGCTGCTATGGAGGCAGGAGAGGCTCATACCCATTGGTCAGATGAGTGGTGCTCCAGTTGTTGGAAGCACACTGACCACCAGGGGCCAGCTCCAGCTTTGAGTGGCTGCTCCGTGGTGGTCAGTCCACATGATAGCCACCGGTTGACCAGTTGTTTGGTCGCTGAGGCTTTATATATAAATATATATAAATTTTATGGTGCTTTTAGGGTTAAGATATGTTACCCAGATAACAAAAATATTTAAATATATAAAGGACAAGAAAAGAGGAACGTGTAATGAAGTGTTATCACTCAGGGACTGTATTAGTTTTTCAGTCTATCATAATAGAGAAGAATCATTATGGGAAGCAGGCACACCAATGTTTAAGTCCCCACTTTGGCAATTACTTGCCATGTGATCTTAACATTGTTTTGAACTCTGTAGCCTCCATTTCATTTAGTTCTTTTTCTGAGGACTTCTCCTGTTCCTTCATTCGGGACATCTTTCTTTATCTCCCAATTTTGCCAACTATTTTGTGTCTTCACCTTTCTTACCAGTCATGATGAGTCTTCTTTAAATCCTTGGTTTTAAGCTCTCTATTAAGCTAGTATTCAGTTGGCTATTCAGATGAATTGTTCTAAAATTTATTTATAATTCTGATTTGTTCCTAGAAGGAGATGTATGTGGCTTCCATCTTCTCCACTGTCACCTTGGATCTATTCATTATTTCTTTCATCTTTTTGTTCAAAATTTCAGATTTCTAGTATAAGAAATAAGTGAAACTCCTTAAAGTATAAAATAATCTATTGCAAATACCTATTTGAATGCCTCAGAAAACACTTGATCTAATGTATTTTCCCATTAGAATTTGCTACTCAATGTTGTACATCTCAGAAATGTAAATTTTAAACATTACGTATTCTGATCACATATCTAAGGCCATAATTAATTTATCTTCCCTTCAACGTTTTACTCAAAATTTTAATAATCTTATTATAAATCTTATATGAGTGTCTAAATTGATATTTCCACTTGTAATGCTATCAAACCAGTCAAATCACAAACTGTATTTCCATTATTTTAATGGACTTTTATTTTTATTCCCCTATATATTTATTCTCCTCTGATATGTTTTAAACACTACCATAAAATTTCTTTTCTTAAACAGGAATTCCTACTGTGCTTAAACATATCAAATTATGTGTCTTAGTATCTGTATTCCAGTAAATAATTTGAATCATTTGAAATATAAGATCTCTCCATTTTAATATCAACTTACAGTTATTTAATCTCCATAAATTATCCCTATAATTATTGGCAACTTTCATGAATGGAATAAAATCCAATGGCATAAAAGAGTTGAATCCTTTTTGCCTAATGAACACTTATGATGCTCACCCTTTCCCCACAATCTTTCCATCACTTTCATACTGGCATCAAGTTTTAGATTTATTACACTTTTCCACAAAAACAATTCCTGTCCTTTCAGATTATTTTAGTTCCTCCATTAACATATCACTTTCATATTTCACTTTTATTCTCATTTCCATTAATCTCAGAAGTATGTGTTCCATACTTCTCTGCCCTCCATAGATTTTCAAACCTTTAACAAAGCATGTATTAGCTCCTCATACCACTTAGAACAAACTGAGCATTTATGAAATGCACTTATACTATATTATAAAGTATTTTGCAACTTTTAAATATATTTTAAGCATACATCTCCCATTTTTCAAGTACAGATCATCAAAATGATTTGTTATCTCCTACTAAATAATTTTATAACTTGCACGTTCAGTTTCAGATTGTTTGTGACATTTGATCTATCTCATTCTCTCTTTTTTTTTCAGTGGAATTTAGTATGTAAATCAAAGTCACTCAAATTTTGGTCACAGGCCATATATTTTTACGGTTACTTATTGGGACCTCCTCTAGGTGGCTATATTTCTGACAAGTAAGTCTTATATTTTGTTTCATAAGTGACCGAAGATATATAATGCATATATTTTCTAAGATTACAACATTTAAGGCTGAAGATGTAGAAAGTGACAAAAGCAGCTTTATTAAGAAAGTAGATATTCTACATACCGTGTTTCCCTGAAAATAAGACATCCTCCAAAAATAAGACCTACTTACAGGTTTTCTTCTGAGTGAAATATAAGACATCCCCCCACAAATAAGGCCTTCTAGGCTAAACATGAGAGATTTGGTCCACTGATTCTGAAAGAAATGGAGTTACAAGAAATTCACCAGGAAATTCAGGAATTGGATTGTTATGATGATGTGGCAGAAGATAATGACATGATTGTCATTGAATAAATGAGTAAATTCCTGATACTGTAGAATTCACAGTTTGTTTGCTTTGTGTTGACAACTACCTTACTACTGTACTGTATACAGGTAACAAATTTCCTTTATTTTCATTTAACAATAAATGTGTACTGTATTCATCTTCAGGGAAAAATAAGACAACCCCTGAAAATAAGACCTAGCACATCTTTGGCAGCAAAAATTAATATAAGATACTGTCTTATTTTCGGGGAAACAGGGTAGTTGCAGCTTGGATCCAGGCTAAATGCCAAACAGTGTTGAATGAGTCTTTCATCATTTGAAAGGGGAGGCTTCAGATTTAGTTTGGGTTGTTTTTGAATCACATTCTAGGATGATTTGTGTGCAAGGCTTTATCTGAGATGGGATCCAAGGAGACATGAAGTGGTAAGTAGGAAGGGAAAGGAAAGTATAATACAGGCAGTCCTCGGGTTACTTCGGACTCGACATATCAATATATCATTTGGTGGTTACATCACCATCTCTCATCTATTTATATTAAAAAAAAATTTCCGTCATTTCAACGTATGTACATATGTGCTTTATGTTTATTATTTACTGTATTTGCCACAAGTAAAGGTCAGGAATTGTTATCTCTCTTTTAAATTTTTGATACTGTGTCACTTTTCATTGCTGTGTGTGAGCTCCATGTGAGTGATGCAGTTGCTCATGTGGGTGGGTTTTGACTTACAGCGAAAACCACATTACTTAGCACCATAGGAATGAATCTCACTGAGGATCTGCTGTATACCTAAGCAGGTTACCGTATGGGAACCTGAGCATCAATCCCTTTGTGGTCTTCTGGGAAATGATTAGCATGCCTCAGAGTAGTGCCACCTATAAGGTAAAGAAAATGGTGTACAGCATGTCCTGGCACTGAGAATCTTCCCTGTGCCAAACTACTTCATCTCTGTGGCCAGAGAAAGCTCTTTGGTGTTGGATACAGCTCCTTCACCACAGAAGACATTTAAAGGTATGAGAGAACATTGAGTAATAACGTAATTGGCAAGGTACCAGGATCATCTGCTACAATATCACAAAGACTGTGATGTTACTTTTAGCTAATAATTCAAGAAGCAAAGCTAATGGTGTAATGCTAAAAATGACAAAGAGGTTTTACAGGGAGATTCACTGCATATAAAGGAGAAAATAAATTAGTTGGATAGAGTGCATAGAGCAAAACGTATAAAAATCAAGATTTTTGAAATGATTTCAACTCAACCATATTAAGTTAGATAGTATATTTATACAGCAAAACATACTTGAGTTATTGGTATTGTTTAGACATAACAGAAATATTTAGAAAAACACTGTGCAAATATCTTCACTGGGTAGTCAGAATGTGATAAATGAATATATATAGAAACGCTTAAAAAAAGGATTTATGAGGGATATTGGAGATATTATGATGACCTGATAAAGTTATTCAGAAGATAGGGAAAACTTTATGAATTAGATTTGAGAAGAGTCAGTCCAATGAACCATCAACAAAAGCTACTATTTTTCCATACATAATTAAATACTAATATTTCTACGATATGTAAAAACTATTCTGATCACACCGAACTTATTCTTTTGGGAAAGTGGTATATTTATTAGGATGTCTCCATAGAATGGGATACCCATCATGAGAAGAAAAAGGAACACAAAAGAGCCATTATCTTCCAAGCTGGAAATTCTCAGAATAATTCATACAATTTTACAATGGTATGTAGACTTTTATTTTTTTTAGATTGCTTGCTCATTCTACTCATTTCCTCTTAGATTTGGCCGGAAACCTGCATTGTTGGCTTCTTCCCTGTTGGCTGCACTACTGGGCACTGGTTCCATTTTTGCCCCAACCTTCCCAATTTACTGTGTAATTCGATTTCTTTTGGCAGTATCACTGGGAACCATATACAGCGCATCTCTTTCACTTTGTAAGTTTGACTTTTTTGTCTTCTCTTATCTAATTTTGTCATGTTTCTAGCACACTTTGTAAGATTTATGTCAATGCATTTTCTTTAAGTTGTAGAATGGATGCCATCTAATGTCACAGCCATGATTATAACAATGAGGGCTCTGGCTCTAAGCACTGGACAGGCGCTACTGGGTGGACTGGCTTATTTCTTACGAGATTGGCGCATGCTACAATTGTCCATTTCTGTTCCTTGCTTTGCCTTTTTCCTATCCATATGGTATGTAGACTTTTGTTTGTTTCCCTTGTGAAGATTGGGCATGAAAGCTTCTAAATAAATATGAAAACTGCTGGGAATAAGAAAAACAATGCAGAAAAGGACACAATAGATAAATCTTAGAAGTTCAAGGAATAGATTAAATTAATATAAGCAATTAAAAATATAAATTTCTTAGGTTCACACCCATTATTATCACTGTTAAGGAAATAATTAATGGAGAGTATGTTTGTTTGAGAAATATAAAACTTGTATTAATGAATGACAATATGGAAAAATTAAACCTTGCAAGAGACAGGATGGAACCCCATTAAGGTTGAGGCAGGGGGATCTTGACGGTCTGAAGCTGGCAGTAGTTCCTATGATTTGAAAAAAAAATGGGGACAATAGCTTATGGGGCATCAGAGATGTCTGTCTCTTTTTGAAAATTAAAAATCAAAAATTAGAAATGCTGTTTTTAAATCTGAAAGTAATATAAATACAAAATATCAAAGATAAAATTTTAAAAATAAATTAAGTTAAATGCTGAGAAATGAAAATAACCTGAGTTCTTTCAAAGATAGAGAGGCATCATGTTCTCATGAATCCCACAACTGAATGGAATCTAGGTCTCTTTGAAGTCTTATTTATGATTGATTTCCTCTCCTATTTCAATGTCTCTGCCTTAAAGGTGGACATCAGAGTCTGCCCGTTGGTTGATTATATCTGGCAAGCTGGACAAAGCACTCAAAATAATGAGGAGAGTAGCCCATATAAATGGGAAGAAAGATGTTGAAGAGACTCTGAATATTGAGGTAAGGAAAAATATAGGAATGTCTTGAAATTTTTCTTTATCAAGGCAAACTCAATATCAATAAACTGTACTGCCACAATGAAAGCAAAAACAAACCAAAAATGAATGTAAATATACACAAAGATATTGAACTTTTTTTTTTTATTAAGCAATTAATCCTCTCAGAAAAGAGCAACAAAAAATTCACTGCTGGAGATAGCCTGGCTAATAGGATATTGTTGTGACAAGAAGATAACTCTATATAGATTTATGAAAAATGAAAACATGGAAGTTTTTCATGAGTTCAGAAAAGCTCGCTTAGTTATTAGATGATGGAAGTGGTATTGGTATTATCCCAATACCTTTCATTGTTCCCTATAAGACTTTAGAGGACCTATCCTCTCAAATGTCTTTGTGAACCATGGTTTTAATTTAAAGGAAAACATTAGAAAAACCTAACCAAATGGCAAAGGTACTAAGATCCTTTAGTAAGAGAAAAGCTCCATTAATAATTTTTCAACATGGATTTATAACTGAATAACTGATTCCAAGGCTAGCAGGCTATGATGATTGAATAATATGATTCTAAATAGTAATAGCCTATATTTCAATATCATAGTAAATACATTAAATGCGGAGTGTAACTTAAATGGGTAAGCTATAGGCATTCTTCATGAGAAGGATTACATGTTGTTATTGTTTTTACAATTGGACTTGATTCCATCACATAAAGTTATTACACCACAAAACGTAAAAACTTGAAGAAGTCCATTGTTTTCTTCCTTGTCCTCATAGGAAGATATTTATGGAAAAATAGATTACAGAGACCTGAAAGATGGGGGCTGGCAGGATGAAGGTCAGGGAAAGCATATGAGTAAGTGAGGGGATGAAAGGAGAGTGTGTAGATGTGTGTGGTATCTGTGTGTGAGTGAGTGAGGGACAGTAAAATCTGGCAGGAGCAGCAGGGGCTGACAGACCAGGCTCTCTTAGTCAGTGAGAAACTGCCACCACGTAGGCTCTCCCTGGACTGTGGGACTTGGAAACAGAACCCACACCATCTTGAAGGGGAGAGCAACCTCTTCTAGGAACTCATCAGCACCACCACCCAATCAGGCCTTTGACACTGCCCACAACCTGACCTGACTGGCAGCCACTCCAGCTAAAATCATGCTCCCCATCCACAGATCCGAAGACCCTGAGACCTCCACCTCCAAAGGGGCATCACTCCTGCATCAGTAAGTGCAACCTCCCGCCTCTCCAATGGCAGATATCCTACACCATAGTACCATGTTTCCAGCGTGCAGGACTCCTGGGCACACAGGCAGCTCTTGGGTGATGCTATGAGCCTCCATTGGCTTCACAGGGGAGTTTTACCAAACATTCAAAGAGGAACTAAAACCAATCCTCCTCAGACTATTCAAAAATATTCAAAAGGAAGGCACACGTCCAAGCTCTTTCTTTGAAGCCAACATTACCCTCATTCCAAAACCAGAAAAATGCACGACAAAGTAAGAGAATTACAGGCCAATTACCGTGATGAACATTGATGCTAAAATCATCAACAAGATTCTAGCAGACTGGATCCAGCATTACATTGGAAAGATCATACACCATGAACACGTGGGATTTATTCCAATGATGCAAGGCTGGTATAATATCTGCAAATCAATAAATATGATACAACACACAAAGAAACAGAGAAAAGGAAAAATCACATAATCTATTGATGCAGAAAAGGCATTTGACAAAGTCCAATACTGTTTTCTGATAAAAATGCTCAGCAAAGTGGTAATAGAAGGATCATACTTCAACATGATGAAAGACTGATATGACAAACCTACAGCCAACATTATACTCAATGGGAAAAAATTAAAACCATTTCCCTTAAGAACATCAACAAGACAGGGATGCCCACTTTCACCACTCCTGTTTGACATAGTACTGGAAGTATTAGCCAAAGCGATCAGAAAAGAAGAAATAAAAGGCATCCAAATTGGAAAACAAGTAAAAACTGTCATTATTTGCAGATTACATGATACTGTACATAGAAAACCCTAAAGACTCCATCAAATATTATTATATTTAATAAATTAATTTGGCAATGTAGCAGGATTCAAAATTATTGCCAAGAAATCTTTGGCATTTTTATACACCAATACTGAACTTACAGAAAGAGATTTTTAAAAAATCCCATTTACCATTGCACATACAAAAAAATTTAAGATACCTAGGAATAAACTTGAATAATGAGGTAAAAATCCTCTACTCTAAAAACTATAGGACATTAAAATAAAGAGATAGAGGAGGACATAAGCAGATGGAACAACATACTGTGTTCATGGATTGCTAGAATTAACATCATTAAAATGTCTATATGATCCAAAGCAATCTATAGATTCAATGCACTCCCTATTAAAAAACCAAGAGCATATTTCACAGATCTAGAAAAAAACACACCAAAAATTCATCTAGAATTTAAAAAAGACCCCAAATAGCTGCAGCAATCCTGAGAAACAAAAACAAAGCAGAAGGGATCTCAATACCAGATATCAAGATGTATTACAAAGCCACTGTTCTCAAAACTGCCTCGTACTGGCAAAAGAACAGACATATAGATCTATGGAATAAAATAGAGAACTCAGAAATTGACCCAAACACTATGTTCAATTAATATTTGACAAAGGAGGCAAGAACATACAATGGAGTCAATTCAGACTCTTCAATAGATAGTGCTGGGAAATTTGGTCAGACACATGCAAAAAATTGAAACAGACCACCAACTTACACCACAAAAATAAACTCAAAATGGTTAGGAAAAAGGACTTAAACATAAGATGAAAACCATAAAATATTAGAGGAATCCACAGGCAGCAAAATCTCAGATATATGCCAAAATAATATCTTTATTGACACAGCTCCTAGGGTGAGAGAAACTAAAGAGAAAATAAGCAAATGGGACTACGTACATAAAAATAAAAAGCTTCTGCAAAGCAAAAGAAATCATCAACAAAACAAGAAAATCTACTGCATGGCAGAACATGTTTGCCAATGTTATCTCTGATAAGGGTTTAATCTCCAACATTTACAGGGAATGCATACAACTTAACAAAAGGAAGACAAACAACTCAATAAAAAAATGGGCAACAGACCTAAATAGATACTTTTTGAAAGAAGACAGAAGGCCAAGAGATATAGGAAAATACACTCAAAGTCACTAATTATCTGAGAGATGCAAATCAAAATGACAATGATGTACCATCTCATACCTGTCGGAATGGATATCATCAACAAATCAACAAATGACAAGTGCTGGTGAGGATGCAGAGAAAAAGGAACCCTGATGGGAATACAGAGTGGTGAAATCACCATGGAGAACAGTAGTTTCCTCAAAAACTAAAAATGGAACTCCCATTTGACCCCCCGTGATTCCACTTTTAGGAATACATTCCAAGAAACTAGAAACACTAATCAGAAAGGATATATGCATCCCTATGTTCATAGTGGCACAATTTGCAATAGCTAAGATTTGAAATCAGCCTAGGTGCCCATCAGCAGATGAGTAGATTAAAAAACTCTGGCACATCTACACAATACTATGCTGCTGTAAAAAAGGAAGGAACTCCTACCATTTCCAACAGCATGCATGGAGGTGGAGAGCATTATGCTTAGTGAAATAAGTCTGTCAGAAAAAGATAAATATCACATGACCTCACTTAATTGTAGATTAAATGAACATAAGCCAATGAACAAAAACCAATCTAGAGACAGAGAAGCATGGATCAGATGCTCAAACCTCAGAGGGAAGGTACAGGAAGTTGGGGGTAAAGGGCAGAGATGAAACAAAGGACTTATGCATGCATAGAAGCATAAGTGATGGACACAGACAACAGGGAGTGAGTGGGGGGGGCAGGATTAGCGGGTGGGAGGTCAATGAGGTATAAAAACACATGTGTAATACCTTCTTACCTAATAATAGACAAACATGTAAATTTACCATACCTTCACTATGCCCATAGCCAGAGTGACTCTGAAAATTAACCCAAAAAAGATGGCGGTTACTTTGCATACATAGGCGCCCAGCAACTGTGTCCCAGGAACATCCTGGCACCCAGGTCATTGTGAGGTAAGGCCTGTGCAGGAGCAGAACACCTGTGATCAATTGCAGGGAACTGGAGCTCCGCTCCTGTCCAAGAGGCTTTTGGCTTGGGCAGGGGAGGAGTTGGTAATCAAAGGGATCTGGAGAGCCCTGCCCAGGCCTAAAACTTCGGCCTGGGTCTTTAGGCCTGAACAGGGCCTAGCTCATGATTGGTGTGAACTATAGAGAAAACACCTTTTCTGACTGCACATTGGCTAAGCTTTCTTTATGACACGGGTATTATTCTTAGTAACTTTGGTAATAAGAATCTGAAAAAGTGATCTAGGGTTTTTCCATCACATTTCTGCAGAAAAAAAGATGAAGGTTAACTACTGGAGGGTTAAGAAATATCATATCCTGCCCTAGCCAGTTTGACTCAGTGGATAATGCCTAAGTCTACCGACCACAGGGTCAGAGTTGGATTCTGATCAAGGACATGTACCTAGGTTGTAGGCTCCTCCCTGGCTGGGGCCCAGATCAGGGCTCTACAGGAGGCAATCAATCAAAGTGTTCCTGTCACGTTGATGTTGATCTCTGTCTTTCCCTTTCTCTTCCACCTTCTCTAAAAGTCAATTGAAACATCTCCTCAGGTGAGGATAAAAAAAGAAGGAAGAAAGGAAGAAAGAAAGGAAGAAAGGAAGGAAGGAAGAAAGGAAGGAAGGAAGGAAGGAAGGAAGGAAGGAAGGAAGGAAGGAAGATAGACAGAAAGACATATCCTATGAAAGACACATCTTGAAAATGCCTAAAGAAAGTTGTCATTTTTTCTTGGTGAAGGAACTGGAATCCTGTGGATGAAAACACCTTGGTGGCTATGGTGACTGGCAGTGGCTGTAGCATGGGGTGATGGGGCCTTCCCCTGATTAGCCAGGTTGCCTCCCACAAAGGGAGGCCAGACTCTGGCTTAGGCCCGCTCAGTAGGACATCCCCTAAGCCATCAGTAGGACATCACCTGAGGGTTCCTGGTATGTGAGAGGGGGCAGGTTGCACTGGGGAACTCACCACACCCAATGCACAAATTTCATGCACCGGGCCCCTAGTAATCAATAAAGAAAAAATGTAAGTCAGACCTAGCCCCCCGAACACGTGCAAAAAAAAATAAAAAAAATAAAATAAAATAATTGAACTGTATCAATAAACTAAGACTTGGAAGTATTCCTAATTCATAAAGAAATAGCCCTGGAATATACACATATGACTAGTTCTGCTGAAATATTCACAAATACATGAAATACTGTAACACACCTTGATAAAAATGATATTAACAGTAGCTATTTAAACTTGTGTAAGATTCAACATGCTTTGTTACTTAACCTCATTCAGTCTTCCTCCTACCCCCTCCCCTTTAGAGCAGAAGTAATAATAATGGTTTAACTTTCACATAGGATTTGTACATTTTCAAGTGATATAAAAAGTTCAAAATAATTTATAATGTATAAGAGAGCAATGCATAATTTTGGGTGTAAGAAGACATTTCTTTAGCACAGAAATTATATTTCTTTTGTTCTTCGGTAGGATTATAAAATAATGTGGAGAATATAAACTATATCATGAAGGCTTCCGGCAAGTCCCCCCCCCCTTTTTTTTTCTTTTACCATTAATGCGTTTGAATATGTTTCAAATACCTTTCACTTTGAAGGTTTTACAATCTGCAATGAGAGAAGAACTCGCTTTGCTCAAACGTAATTCCAAGAAAATAAAGGTCATGGAAAGTCCCATCGTGTACAAGACAATCTTCCTGCTGTGTTTCCTGAGGTTTGTCTTTTCTCTTCATTTTGTGACTTTTAGATAACCTCTAGAACAATGCCTTCTGCCTAGTGGAGTGGTCGGCAAACTCATTAGTCAACTGAGCCAAATATCAACAGTACAACAATTGAAATTTCTATTGAGAGCCAAATCTTTTAAACTTAAACTATATAGGTAGGTACATTGTTATAAACTTAATTAGGGTACTCCTAAGCTGGCCTTTGCTAAAAACTCAAGGGGCCAAAGAGCAGCATGTGGCCCCAGAGCTGCAGTTTGCGGACCACTGTAGGGGATGCCAGTACTGTATTTTAAGTCGCAGGACTATGCTCACCTTCTTGCTAAAATACACACTCTCTATGTGATATTGGGTAAATTGTTTCCCCTCTTTCATTATAAAATTGTGATATTTATTTCAAAATGTTGCTGTGTAGTTTGAACATACAATCTTCAACAAATATTTTATGTAACCCTTATTTTTCCATTGTTTTTATGAACACTATACACCCAGTAGTGTGCAATATAGATGAAACCCCATGTTGTCATTAAATATGCTGTATTTTTTTTAAAAAAAATGTATTTTTTATTGATTTCAGAGAGGAAGGGAGAGGGAGAGAGAGATAGAAACATCAATGATGAGAATCATTGATTGGCACCCTGTTAGTTTCTGCCTGATCTCTGTAGGCCAGACTGAGGGACCCCATGGGTACACAAACTATGCACTGGGGCTCTAGTCTTCTAATAAGTAAACTGCTTATCTTTAGAGAAGATTCATAACATGTATAAATTATAGATAAACATGTTGAGCAAGACAGTGGTCACCATGTAAAATAAGTCTTAAGCCTCTATTTATCCAGCTTTAGTGAGTAACATTCCACCTCTTGGAAGTAAAAATCCCAGTGATAACTTTTGTCCTCAATATCAAACAGGTGGTTTAGAACAAGTACATTCATCTTCCTCACTTCATTTGATCTTTGTGCTTTTTGAGGAAGTGGGGTATAATATCACTGTATCTTTGACTAAGTATCTATAATTTTCATAGGCATGTGTATTCACAATGAATATATAATGTTCAAAATGTAGCTGTTTTTAAAGTGTCCATTAATTTTCTATTCTCTTTTACAGATTCTGTGCAATTTTCTTAGCTTTTGGAGTGTTCTTTGATCTAAAACATTTAGGGAGCAATGTGTTCATGTCTCAGGCTCTCCTTGGAGCTGTGGACTTCCCAACAAAATTTCTTTCTTTCTTTGTAATCAAGTTCCTTAAACGCCGGCCTTCCATCGCTTCTTCCCTTTTCTTTGGTGGATTTTTTATCTTAATCCTTATATTCGTGCCCAAAGGTGAGAATGCAAGTTTCCAGAAAAATGTTTGAGAATTTTAATGTGGCTTCAAATTCTGATTCCAAGAATATAATATTGGAAAATGAAGTAATATAACAATTTCAGAACAGGGGAAAATTATAAACTCATAACTGTAGAAAATACTGAAAAATATCACATATTTTCCATACCATGTATGTTGTTTTTCTAATAATCATCATTAACTTTGTCATTCTCATTCTGGATTAAACATAAATATACTGGATTAACAATTATGTAAAATATTAGGCTCTTAGTAAAACTCTTAGTAAAATCAATAAAAATATTCTTATTCATGTTACATATACTCATTAAAAGGGGGGGGGGGGCCATTACAAATAATTGATAGTAGATGAGGTTATGAAAGCCAGGTAATTTATGCATTCTTTCACTTAACCTCACAGATATGCCTATCATACGGCTTGGACTTGCTATGTTGGGTAAAGGATTGATGGCAATATACTTCAGCACTGCTATGATCTATAATCATGAACTCATACCCACAGGACTCAGGTAAGCCACTGAACTCTCCTTACTAAGACTACAATTGAGAGTTTCCTAGAATTAGCTAGATACTTAAATAAGTCTAAATGAATTCTGTACTCAAAGGAACTTCAACTAATTTCTATTGTGATTTAAAAACCACCCCTGAACCCTAATCAGTGTGTTCAGTGGTTAGAGCAGTGGTTCTCAATCTTCCTAATGCCACAAACCCTTTAATACAGTTCCTCATGTTGTGGTGAGCCCCAACCATAAAATTATTTTTGTTTCTACTCCATAACTGTAATTTTGCTACTGTTATGAATCATAATGTAAATATCTCTGTTTTCCGATGGTCTTAGGTCACCCCCGTGTAAGGGTCCTTTGACCCCCTAGGGTCATGACCCACAGGTTGAGAGTCGCTGGGTTAGAGCATCAGTCTGAGCACTGAAGGGTCTTGGATTTGATTCCTGGTCAAGGGCACATAGTTGGGTTGCAGGTTTAATCCTCAGCCAGTCAGGGTTCTTGTAGGAGGCAACCAGTTGATGTATCTCTCTCAAAGACGTGTCTCTCTCTCTCTCTCTCTCTCTTTCTGTCTCTTTTTTTCTTTCTCTCCCCCCCCCCTCTCTCCCTCCTTCACTTCTATTCTCTCTAAAAAGCAATGGAAAAAAATATCCTTGGGTAAGAGTTAAAAAATAAAAAAAAGTAAAAACCATCCTTGGCATAACTTTTGGTTTAACCCACGGTTAGTCTAGAATACTTTTTTTTTTTTCAAAATTCTGATATTTTTTTAAGTAATCATATCTACTTGTCCCCAGAGATTTCCCATTGAATTCCTCTTATCTTCACAAACACATTCATAAAAAAAAAAACCCTACTAAGCTTTCTTTCCAAACTATGATCTTAGTTACTAGATTATTTCAATTCCACCCTGACTTTGTCTTACACAGCTAAATTTTTTTGTTAATGCTCAGTCCCTTAGACACAGTTAAATACTTTTGAATGTTGGCTCTGAATTTAAACTATAACATAATTTAAACTGAATCATTACTAGAAAACTGTATCTAGTCATTGTAACATCCTAATCACTAAAAGGGTTTCACAATATATCATAAACCAGAGTAATGCAAGTTTAATGGGATTTCAGACTCAATGTTCTACTCAATCACCATGTGAAACCTCTACCCATTTTTTTGTTACTCCTCTCTGGAGGATAATTTTTCCACTGATTTTTAGAGAGAGTGGATTGGAGGGCGAGAGGTGAGACAAAGAGAGAAACATTGATGTATGAAAGACATAACCTGCAACCCAGGTATGTGCCATTAAGTGGGAATTGAACCGTGATTTTTTGCTGCATGGCCCGATGCCCTAACTACTGAGAAACAGGCCTGGATTCTACTCATGTTTTTAATGTTAGAGATCTATCTATTCATTTTTAAGAGTGAATGTGAATACACTAAATATTTAATGGATTCTGTATGAAACTCATGATAATCTCTCAATAGAATGGACTAAATTCATAGATAAAGAAATAATATTCTCTTGAGATAACAAATATTCCAAAGTGGATGCATTCCGAAGTCATTGGGAAACACAGGGTTCCAAAGTAATTTATCTGTATATAAAAGGCACATAATTATACATGTGATATAATTAACATTTTGGTGCACCTCCTCTCAAAAGGCATATAGTTCATTAAAATAAAACACATTTATATACAAAAAGAGGAGGAGAAGGAAGTAAAAAAGGAAAAGAAGAAATGGAGAGGACTGAAGAGCAAGAGGAGGAAGAGGAATAAACAGAGAATAAGATTTAAGAAATTTCTATGAACTAGACATAAATATCGGCCCTTGACAATAAGTCCATTAACACAAAAAAAACAGGGCTTTCTTCCATAGACCTATTTTATTAGTCAGTGACAATAAATAATAAAATATAAATAATAAGGAAATGCCACCTTTACATACATGGTCTAAAGCAGCTGTCCTCAACCTGTCACAGAGGACTCCTAAGACCATTGGAAAACACAGATATTTACATTATGATTCATCACAATTATGAAGTAGCAACGAAAATAATTTTATAATTGGGGGTCACCACAACATGAGGAACTGTATTAAAGGGTCATGGCATTAGGAAGGTTGAAGACCACTGGTCTAAAGGACATTAACAGTGTTTTTCATTAGACCAAGAATGAGGGATGGGTGAATCAGCAAGAGAGGTTAGAGTAGGCCTCATTCTTTCTGGATAAGCATTCAAATTGTGATCCAAAGGCCAGCATGTAAAGTTAGCTAAAGGAAACAAACAAACTTATACCACTTGTTGTCTAGAAACTCAAAAGGCCAGTGTAATTGACATTTAACATTTAAGGGGAGAAACACTATTATGAGCACCAAAGTTGGCAATATGGTAATGACCTCAGGAAGGCATTTAGATTTCATTTCCAGGCCAAGGAGAATCCCTATATATAAAGTAGAAAACAAAAGCAATTGCAAATTGTAACTATTTATCTTGTCTTTATTTACAATATAGCATGCACATACTTTAAACCAAAAGAACCCAGTGAGAGAAAGATGACCTTGTGTTCAAGTTGTCAAGAAAGGCTTAACAAACAAGTCTCCAGGAGAACAAAAAGATTTACTTAAACAATGTTTTCTTATTCTCAAGGTCCAGAGGAGAGGGCTTAATTATATTCGTGTCTGGTCTGGGCGCATCTCTAAGCAGTCTAGCATTAATCACAAGGCAGTATTTTGAACACTTGCCAACGATTCTGTATGGAACTTCCCCCATTGTGGCCGCCATCTGTGTCTACTTCCTACCAGAGACTTTAAACTTTCCACTTCCAGACACCAACCAGGATGTAGAAAGAAGGTAAGAAACATGGCATATTTTGTTTGTTAGCTTTTCTTTGAAAAATAAGTGGGGTTTCTTAAAAAAAAAAAAAAAAAAGATCATGTGATGAACTGGAAAAGAATAAAATAAGTTATTTTTCAACATGGTTGAAAAAATCCCAGTATAAGTGATGATATGGTGAATATTGATTTTAGAAGTCAAATATTTGACATTGAACCTGGTAGACCCTATGACTCATCATAACCATTTGAATGTGCTAAAAGTAAAGTTGTATAGCTCTAGCTCCGAACCTTAAAGAAGCTGAGAGTTGGATGTTCATTCAGAATTCCTGGAAATTTGCCCTACCTGGTTTGGCTCAGTGGATAAAGTGATGGGTCCTGGGTTCCATTCTGGTCAGGGGTGCATACTTCAGTTGCAGGCTCCTCCCATCCAGGCCCTGGTTGGGGCTCATAGGCAACCAATCAATGTGCTTCTCTCACATTGATATTTCTCTCTGTCTTTCCCCCAGAACCCATTGAGAGAAAGATTTCCACTCTCTCTAAAAATAAATGGAAAAATATCCTTGGGTGAAAATTTAACAAAAGAATTCCTGAAAATATAACACATAGGTTTTGGCTCCAGAGTCTCTTCTGGTAATGGCATTATTTTTTTTCTACAAAAATAGGACCCCAAGGCAAGGAATCATGACACTGTTCTTGGGTGTACAACTGTGCAATTTATTTGGTGGTGGTTGTTTTTCATCTTCTCGGCATTTATCAGTAATGAGAATAATTTAGCAAGCCACTTCAGCAGATTGCTGTGAGCAGATGATGAGGGGGGTGTATAACTACCCAATGAAGTACAATTAAGTTGTATTATTACCTATTTGCCACCATATCCAACATTTACAACGAATTCTGTCATCCCTGTTTCTTTCATTACAGGTACAAAAACTATAAGGAAACAAGTACCAATAAAGAAGAGACCAATAACCTCCAAGATACCACAGAGTGTTAATATGGTCTTCAGACTGCGTCCATGAAATCAGGAGCTTGTTCACATTCATCCTCCTTAGAGCAAACACTGAGATATGTCCTTATTATGTCAATTCATGACCCACTCTTTATGGCTTGGAAGAGCATTTAGGATTTCCTCAAGTCCACATGAGGAAAACCTCTGGATTTGAAACCAGAGAACGCCGATTCCAATTCATGGGCAGAAACTTACTAATCATTAAACACTGAGCAAGTGTGTGTCTCCTCAGGCTTGCTGCTTCCTTTGAAGTGGGATATTGAGATCTGCCCTTGTTACCTTACAGGGTTATTGTGATGACAGTGTGAATAAAGCATATAAATAATTTCAAAATATAAAAATTGGAAAATGTTCCTGTAAGGAATAAAATGTTGCAGTACCTTAAACTGTTTGTTTTTGACATTTTGTTTGAGAGTTGCTGTTCTTTATAGAACCGGCTACTATTTATTGTCATGCAGACCAAATTTCATATATTAGCTACATTTCCCTGCCTCCAAATCAAAATTTATTTCTAAAAGCATGAAATGAGCACCATTTATGTGCGAATCATGTATCTGTCACAAAGAAAAAAGGACCCAACACAACATCTATCTTCAATTTCCATTTAATATTTCTTATATAAAATAAATTCTGAATACTTTATCAAAAAATACTTAAATTTGCATTCTTTGACTATGCATTGAAGACTAATGTTCTTTTTTTAATATATTTTATTGATTTTTTTGCAGAGAGGAAGAGAGAGGGATAGAGAGTTAGAAACATTGATGAGAGAGACATTGATCAGCTGCCTCCTGCACACCCCACACTGGGGATGTGCCCGCAACCAAGGTACATGCCCTTGACCGGAATTGAACCAGGGACCTTTCAGTCCACATGCCGACCCTCTATCCACTGAGCCAAACCGGTTTCAGCTGAAGATTAATGTTCTTGAAGAGCAATCAAAAATAGTAATAGTCATTTTAAATTTGCTATATGACTATTTACTATTATTACATATTGTAGCTTCTAAGTAGAAATAAGTTTAGTACCATAGTCAGTGGAGGAAAAGTTAAAAAAAATTGATAAGAACAGCATATGAAAGGTAAATAATTTTAGTAAATACAAAAGTATATATTTTTTAATTTTAAAAAGCTAATTGAATATAATTGTTTGGAGCCACAAGAGTAATAATTTGTTTTGGAGTTTACAATAAGCTAGGAGCCCAGTGAGTGACTTGAAATCACGTGGCACTACCCACACTTGAGTCGCCAGTCCTGCCCTGCCTCACAGGCCCCTGCTACCCTACCCCCAACACTGCATGTGTAATCTCCTCCTGTCCAGTCAACCCATTACAGCATCCTGGTTAATTAACATATTTCTCTATTTTATATATATATATGTAGAAGTAAGTTATATGCAACAACAGTAATGTGGACACACAAAGAGAAAAATATAGCGATATAAAATTCCTATATATAATATGTGCTATATTATTTGAAAGTTAGCTATGAAAAATTTAAATGCATTAAAAACATTAAAACACTAAAATAACATAAAAATACATAAAGATATTAACTATGGTTTCTAGCTCTCTATCCCTCTCTCTTCCTCTCTGTAAAAATCAATAAAAAATATATATTTTTTTAAAGGACACTTTAATATCCATCAAACTGAACATATCTGGGATCTGAACAAATTACACTAAATTAAAAACATACTGCATTCATACTGACTAGGTCCTCTGAACACAAATTTCATTAAAAACACACAAAACTAATAATAATAACAAAAACATTTGTGAACTGTTTCTATATAGCTGTATATTGATTTCAAATATTCTAAATAATCTGAATAGGAGCAATACATCAGAATTTTTTAAATGTATTGAAATCAATGATAATGAAAATAGAACATAAGGTTATGAAATTCAGCTGAAGTAAACTTAGAGTGAAATGTACAGCTTTAAAAGCTCTTATTGCTTACTAGAGGCCCAGTGCATGAGATTCATGCATGAATGGGGAGGGGTGTCCCCTCAGCCCAGCCTGGACCCTCTTTAATCTGGGACCCCTCGTAGGATGTCTGACTGCCAGTTTTGACCCAATCCTAAGGATCAAGCCGAAACCAGCAGTCAGACATCCCTCTCACAATCTAGGACCACTGGCTCGAAACTGCTCACCTGCATGCCAGCCTGATCGTGCCCCCGCCCCCCAGCCTGGTCACCCCCAACTGCCTTCCTGCTGGCCTGATTTTCCCCTACTCCCCCCCCCACCCCTGCTGCACCCTTCTGCTGGCCTGGTTGCCCCTCACTGCCCCCCTCTGCCAGCCTGGTCACCCCCTTCATTGCCCCCCCTGCTGACCTGGTCATCCCACTCAGCCTGCTGGTCAGTCATTTGGTCAACCCTCACTAACACCCCTCCTGGCCTGGTCACCTCATGCAGTCTGCTGTTTGGTTGTTACTGTGAGGGCGTCGTGACCAATTTGCTTATTACCCTTTTATTAGTAAAGATAATAAAAAAGAATTATATATAAAGCTACATGTTCACCTTATTGGATTTGATAAAAAAGTAAATAAAACCAAAGTGAATAGAATCAAAGGAAAAATAAAGGAAAGCAATCAATAAAATAAAAAATTAATAAACAATAAATAATAGTTTAAAATTATTTACCTAAATTTCAGTCCTAAGAGGCTAGAAAAGAACAATGAATCCATGGCAATATATAGAAGAAAATGATAATAAGTGCATAAAACAATGAAATAGACAATCAATAAAACTATAATCTTGCTTAAGATTAATAAAACCTATAAGTAGATAGGTAAATAAAAAGAGAGGGAGAGAGGACAGGAAAGAGGAGACACAAATACTTTTTAAAAGGCCATAAACCTTAAAGAAGAGCAACACCATCAGTCTAGAAAATAAAATTGAGATCAGAGTATTAATGGAATATAATATATGTAATGTATCTATCATATGTATGTAAAATAAGATAGTACAGAGTAGCAATATTAAAAACCTTGAAGTGTTATTTTTCTCATTAATGGGCCTGCCACTTTAAAAAGGGAATAATGTCATTAAGAGTATTTGAAGTATAGACATTGGCCTAAATTATATGCAGAAATACATAAAATCTCAGCTAAATAGCAATTTGGCAAAGTGGTGGGAACCTTAGTAGCCATATATCATTAGGAATAGTGAGAAAGCTAAGCTATAATTATATTAGTAATCTTGAAAAGTCATGATTTTAAAGTTGGAGAATAAGACCATAACATAGTGATTTAGGTCCATTGACAAGGTAAGTAGATCCTCCACAAGTATAAAATAGAAAAGAAAAAATAAAAGAATTCTTGTATATTGGATAGAAAAGAAAAGTCAGTATTGATTTTCTAATATCATTGTCATCAAGACTGGAGTGTCCAAACCTTTAAAAAAAAAAAAAAAAAAGTAATGTGTGAATAAAGGCCTGGGTTTTAGTGGCAAGGCTATCTATCTAATAGAGAAATATGCAAATTGCCCAGGACACCTTCATAGTAACCAGCAGGCTGCCTAGAGTGGCAAGGCCAGCAGTTGGGTTAGTAAGGGATGACCAAAGGACTCAACATCAGGCTGCATGGGACAACCAGGCTAGCAGGGGAGGCAGTTGAGGGCGACCAGGCCATCAGGAGAGGAGCATTTGGGAGTGACCAGGCTGGAAGGAAGGCGCAGTGAGAGGTGGTCAGACTGGCAGGGGGGAAGTTAGGGGCAATCAGGCAGGTGAACAGTTAGGAGCCAGCGGTCCTGGATTAGAAAGGTTGCAGGTGGGGCTGAGGGGACCTCTTCCTCCTGTCCATGCACCAGGTCTCTAGTCACAGATAATAATAAAATTAGATAAATAATTAGCTGAAATAGATATCAGGATAGATTGTTAAAGGCAATCTAAATTTTTTTAGATAACTAAAGAAATGTAGCATATAAAGTAATTACATACTTCATAGATAAAGAATATTATGTGAAGATACTATTAATATATCTCCTAGAGATAGATGGACTGAATTGGTTAAAGCTGTGGCTAAAAGAAATGATCCATGTATAGAAAATCTCAAATGGATTCAGATGAATGACATTATTTTAAATACTATTTGTTTTAAAAAATAAGAATAAAATAATACCATTTTCTGTCAATAAATGAAAATATTCTATCAAAGACAAACTATTACAGTTAACATAAAAAGAAACAGATAACTAGAATATAATCCTATACCTATTAAATAAACTTTATCTCTAATAAAATACCATTCTACACAGAAATATCCAGCACAAGACAAAATGGCTTTGATGAAGAAATATGAATTTAAAAAAAAAAACACCAAAACAATAGCAAAAAATCTGACCAAATAATACAAAATCTTCCAAAAAAAAAAAATGAAGAGGACAAACTCACATTATAAAACTATGATTAACCTCATACCCAAATTATACAACAAAGAAAATATACACAGAATTTTACACTTCTTTTGGTAAAATATATCTATAAAATGCTATTGTGAATGGAATTTTCTTTCTTATTTTTTTTTAAAAATACGTTTGTATTGATTTCAGAGAGAAGAAGAGAGAGGGGGAGAAAGAGATAGAAACATCAAGGATGACAGAAAATAATTTGTAGGCTGCCTCCTAAATACCTCCTACTGGGGATCAAGCTGAAACCCAGGCATTATGGGAATTGAACCATTACCTCCTAATTGATAGGTTGATGCTCAACCACTAAGCCACACCAGCAGGGCTGGAATTATCTTCTGAATTTCATTTTTGGAATATTCATGGCTAAAATATAGAAATACAACTGATCTTTGTATATTAATCTTGTTTTTAAAAAATAGGGGGAAAATACATCTTATGGACATAGGTGCAAAAATTATATCATAGAGGGGAAAGCAAATTGAAACCTTGTGCCCTGTATTAGTTTGCTAGAGCTGCAAGAGTTCTTCCTTGAACTCAGATTGTACCTAATACATGTGTTAGTTGATTTGAAGG